TCTTTGAGAAGCTGAACTTTATAAAGAGGAAAATGGGTCTTTGAGACTGGTGGCAAATGTCCCTGCTCCATAATGGTACGTGCATCGTAAATCAATCATTTGCTGTTTTGAAATGTAGCAAAGAAGCCGTTTAACTTTACGCAAAAGAAGGTTAGAGAGGGAATGTTGTTTCTGGCAGTTTTAATACATAGTTGCCTACCAGTGTTCCCCGTTTCTAAGTTTGAGAATCATCATAAAATGAGACATTAAGATCCAAGTGGCAGCAGCTCATTAGCACTATATATTTCGAGTTAAATTCTCTTTTTAACTCTTTACCTTAGCGTTTTTTATCTTTACCACTGTATTTGACCGTGAACTTTGTTTTTCCTCTGACCCTTCTCCTATTTAGATATCAAAAATGCGTGATATCAAATACCTGGTAAAAACAATCAGCGCCCCTCCCCATCCAGTTCTCTCTGATCACCCATCCTTAACCTTTCTTTACAAAGTAAAAAGCGAAGTCGAGTTTGGTTACGGTTAGTGTCCAGATTTCGACTTCATTACGACTTTTGTAACATTTATTCCTTTTGGCGCGTGTGTGCTAATATACCAAATCAGTATCAAAAAGTGAAGGAATTGCTAACATCATAGCACAAAAATAAAACATAAAAAGAAAAATTTTAATATGAACATAAAAACCAGGCGCCATGTTGGCAGTTTAATTGCAGCACGCACATATCACACCTTTTAAAACTTTTTTGTTTCTTTTAAATATTCTTATTCCTGACTAAATTCAAAGAGAAATGATTGGGGGGGTGATGTGTAAAAAGCTTCTGGTGCTGGTTATACAACCGTCTTTATTTGTTTTAGAAGCGTTGAGCAATACATTGGAAATTAATTGCCCGTTCCCATACAATTTGCCAGTTAAACACAAATATTTAAGGCTTATTAACAGACTGGGTTGTCAAATTTGTTGAAACAATGACTCAGCCGAACATACGCGTCAAATGACGACATTTCCCCGGGAAAACGTGAGACATTTGCGAAGCTACAGGTTCTTCGCTGAAGATTCACGTTTAATTCATTATGTATTAGATTAAATAGCCATTTAGCTCTTTGTTAAATCACTGCTTATGATCTCTTTCTTTCCATTCCAAATGGGAAATAGGTTTTAATGCAACAAAATCTTTTATTCAACGTCATTCAAATTGAAAGAATTTTAACACGTCCTTACATGTTTTTTTTTTGCCTCTAATGGCTATGCGCTCCTTCCAGAGCCGTCTTATGATATCTGCCAGATATCCAAATTAGCTTTGAATGAGATTTCTCAGTCAGACAGGTCACTGAGTACTAATTTGGGAATCTTCTAAAAGGCTGATGCTGTAATCACTGTCCCTTCAGTCTTTAGAGGGTTCAGTTAGTTGAGTCGGAGAGTGGACATCCTCCTGCTTTAGGTCAAAGTTAATCTCGGCAAGGAGCATCAATAATTGTGACATTTTTAATGTGTCACTAATGGGCCTCCTGTACTTTATATAATCATCTTTCCTGCAGTGTTTGAAAAGCTCTCACATGAATGAGAGCTTTCCTAGCAGTTCCAGAAGAAGCTACCTTCTGCAGTATGGCTTATAATGTTAGTCAGGTTTGTTTTAAAAGCTGTTTGAATTGCAAAACAGGTGCAGACCCCTAACCGAGCGGTTCAGTGTGCATTCGAGAGTGGACAAATTATCAAGCGGCCGTCGTTTTGTGTTGGTTGTCGTCATCTGCTTGGCTGCCGGCAGGCTCTCGCCTTACTTCTGCCGTTGTCATTTATATTAATCCAGGCTGAAGGTCCCGTGGAGGCTTCCTAGGTCACTAAAGTCCTAACTGTATGCTCAGCCCCCCCCCCCCCCCCCCCCCATGGAAGACTGGCAGGAAAGCTTGTGCAAAAACTATAGTGAACGACAGACATCTATCATCCCTGTATTATTGCTGCAGCTGCACTCCTGCACAAACATTATAATTTTTATTATGCAGTGATATATAGTTGTATGCAATTTTTTATTTTGTATATAATCTACACATTTATGGTTTATCTGCATCCTATGCTTGTTGGCGTCTTGAAAGTCTAGCACTTTATTAACTTTGCTCACTGACTCATTGATGTGAGTGAGAGACTTAAACCTGCCTAGCCTCAGGAAGGCTATTTCATCAGAACACATCTTCTCCTCACCCAGCCGTAATGGCTGTTCCTGTCCCAGAGGTTCCACATTTCACAGCTTTCAAAACATACCTTTTTTTCTCCTTTCCAGCTGTGCTACCAACAGGGTCTGCTGTTTTGTTAATGAAATGTAAAACGTTCTCATTGAAGTACAGAACCTATATGTTCCTTCACAATCCATATGCATTTTTAAGCCATGCCAACCAGCCTGTGTCAATATTTTTAAAACGATTCTTTTGACTCGATCTTTATTTTTACAGTTTAGTTCATAAAACAGAAAATACAGCATTTGTGAAAATATTTGTATTATTATCATCAAGAAAAAACAAAAATAGCTAACTAGCTTCAAACAGCATGATTGTGGGCCAGGGAACCACCATCAAAGGGGGAAAGGCTCCTCAGTAATTAGGAGTTATATGTCCTCTCCAGCTAGGATGCCAGTATAAAATATCACATTTTCCCAGATTTTTCCCCAAGGTGGATTTGGCTTAGACAAACAGAACGTAAATTTTGCTTCAAAAAATGTTTTTTTTTTTTCCCCTTAACTTTTTGCAAACAAGATTTGTTTGTCTTTGATGTCATTGCCATCTTGTGCAGGTTGCTTGGCTTGTTGTCTGGCACCAAATTCCCATGCCCCGAATAGGCAAAAAAGCAAACAAACCAAAGATAGCAATGAAAATCACCATCATAAAATGTAGTGATCACAATGACAATGATAATAATCGTAATGGAAATCACCAGGTACCATGTGGATTGTTGTGTAGCCAGATCAACTGGTTTGGAAGAGGGCATAGGAGAAGCAGGTGCTTGTTTGTGTGTCTGTATCTGGAAGTGTGTCTCCATTGATTCATCCATTGCCATGAAACGTATGCAAATTCATACCCCAAACCACATACATATTTCAGATGTTTTGTTTGTGCAAGAGAAGGAAGAAAGAAGCAAGAAAAACAAGAGAGGTATAACCTCTTTATAGCTGCAAAGGTCCTGTTTTTATTTATGGCTGATGTGGGGATCGCAATTACCAGTCAACAACCCACTCTTCGGAAAATATCAGATTTTAATGCCACATTAAGTCCTCACTAAATATCCATAAAATGTGGCACTTATTCACTCAAGATACTATGGTGGCTTTTGAAAAAAAAAGAAAAAAAAAAACAAACAGATTTTTCACAGTCTTCATTGTAAAAATAAATCTTTGATGATTAATTTTTTTTTTTACCCATTTAGGTCACCAGTAACTTGACTTTTCCCCCACTTGTTTCTTAAATGTTAATTAACTGTAGCTTTGAGAATGGCTTTGCTCAAGGCTGACCATATGGGTTAGCTATATATATAATGATGGCATATATTATTAATACTATGTTCCATAAAATCATACGGACTTTAGAATTGGGCTGGGATGTAGGAGAGCCACACGGGATGGTTAGCACCGACATATGCTAATTAAGCCGAAGCGGTCCAATGAATGAAGTGAATCTGAGTCCACCCAGGCTTTTGTGTGTCTGACACTCCAGTCTTCATCCATCTCAGTGTGCACCTTTCTGCCAACTGAGCACTTTTCCTCCTGACTCAGTGACGTTAACACACCTGTGAATGAGATGGTCCAGTAGGTGAACATGACTTTGGCCTCAGTCATTATAAGTATCACAATGGCAAATGGTGCTCAGTGCAAATGTTTAACAGTTGGATAATATAAGCATTAACTTCTATATGAATATAAAGATTGTTAGACATTAGCCACATGCTATTCAGCTGGGGCAGATTCCCCTTGTGGTGAGGAGATCTGAATAGTGCTTTTTTCCCACCACAGTTCTGTGCAGTGTGGTTATCCATCAGCTGGGACTCATTATGCTTCAAGGTATATGTCTGTGTGTGAGCTTGTGTGTGAGCTTGTGTGTGAGCTTGTGTGCGTGCGTGCATGCGCGTGTGTGTTTGTGTGGTGGGAGAGCGAGGCCCTGATTATGTGCGCACTTGACTGTTTGACGGGAAGGCCGACAGACCAGGAGTTCATGCATTTCACTGTGTGTGTAACACACTGCATCATGCTGGTTTTTCAGTGAGCGCCGCCTGGGTCCGGGATTGCACGTGAATGAGAATGAGTTTCTGTGGCGAAAGTTTGGATACGAGGCCTGGATGTCGCAGGATCTGATAGCCCCTGGAATTTAGGTTCTGTCCCAGCCAAGCCGCGCGGGTTTGTCCAAGTTCAACTGACAGCACAAGAGAAATGGTCTCTGATTTACTCTGGGAGCTCCCGATAGTGCCTCCCTCAGCATACAAATGAACCACCTTCAATGGAGATGAGCCCAGATACCACTTCCCCCCTGTGTCAGAGGCCCGGACTCACATAGTCGCGTGCAGCTGGAATGCTGACTTCTATATGAAAAGTTCACAGATGGAAATTATGGACAGCTGAGGCTTTTTTTTTTTCATTTTTACAGCAGGCCCTGTGGTGTGATCCAAGTTCAAGAGAAACGCACGGTCTGGAATCTGTGCTGATACAGAGTAACATGACACGTGCTCACTGTACCCAGTGTTCTAAATGAACAGATACACTCCAAAGTGCACATTTCAGACGTCTGCTGAGTCCTATCTCACCTCCCCAGCCTGTGTGTGTTGGTCATCTTGGTTTGTAAATGCGTGTACTTGATGCCCCATACATGCGGCTTGCGGGTATCGGTGATGGAACCAGCCCTAATTTTACCCCGGTGCTGGGTGGAACACAGACTTTACACAGGTGGTTATATCAGGGGCAAGTATCAGTGAGAGATGAATGGAGAAAGGAAGGCCTCCTGCCAATGCAAATGACTCTTATGTTGCGTTACAGGCCAGCGAAACTTTTATGGTGAACGAAGATCCCTCCAGAGGCCCCGGACTGCCTGAGTGCTTTGTAGTGTCCGATTCATACAGGGTATGATCAACCGCTCTATCTCCTACTTCTTATTGTTGCTGTAAAATGTTGTTTTAACCATGTTTGTGACCGATGGCCGTTTTACATGCTTGCGGTAATTGCACCCGCAATCATGTCATTCTCAGCTCTACCCCTCAGCTGCAAGCCATTACCCTCATTATTTCCGCACGCACTCGAGAAAGCGTGCAGTCGGCCGCCGGCCCCCTTTCTCATGGGAAAGAGAATAATAATAACGGTAATATGTGGCATGGAGGCTGGCGTCGAAAATGAAAACAAATCAGGGCAGCGCAGTGTTTAGGGAACCGTCAGCTAAGCACCTTTTGATTTATATAGATGGAAATAGAAGGAATATATGTAGAGAGAAAATATTTTAAAATGCAAATTGAATGATGGGAAAACAGACTGATTTCTCTGCCTTTGTTTTCAGTTTTAGTTTTAAGGACAACTCTATTGTAATGTATTAACTGTCCTGAGTACAGAAAAACACTTATAATCACAGTAGGAGAACTGGAGAAGGCGTCTAAAAGCATGACATTTGACATCAGGAAGAATCAAGGAATGCATGAACATCAAGAAACGCATGAATTGGCTGTTTACTTTTGCTGATGAAATGGCAGGAGAGAGCCTTACTGCTTCCTTGTTTTCCCTTTCTCTCTTGCATCTTGAAGCTGTGTGCGCTTGAGCCACTGACTGGGAGTGACATTGCTGGATGGTGGTAGAGGCAGCGAGACTGTTGATGGTTGTGAGCTAGGAGATGGGATGATGCCTGGTGAGGGTGGGGAGGTAGACGCGCTGCCTCCCTGTCATTTACATGTAGGGGGTTAAATTTAAGGTTTGAGGAGAATAACAATGACGACGACGAGGATACTGTGTACATTTTTTTTTTGTTATTTAGAATTCACTGTGATGTCATAGCCCGAAGTTTGAGTGACCTACGATGCACAATGTTGCAACTTGACAGGGCTCTATAGTCTGCCTTATATGCAATTTTCTATTAGGGCACATGATTAATTAGATCATTTTTTGAGTGAAAAGCCTTGTGCCTCTAGTAAAATACCTGTGAGCTTAGCATCCACGTCCTGCCCATGGCCATTTAACCAAAGCACCTTATTTGTTAGCTGTGGAGCCAGACGAGGTGGGTATACTCTAGCAACACCATTGTATAATGCTAAAGAGTAAATATGTATATTTCAGTGTGTGAAAAAGAAACCGCAAAGTCTGACTCTAACAATTACAGAGGGTTCCCCCATCTGTTTTTAAATGAGGGATTTGCTGAATTAAGCCATTGAAATGTGGGACTCATTTGAGGGCGATGGCAGAAGAGCATTTGGGCGTGCAGAAATCTGGATTCTTGAGTAATAAAGCATTCCCCCCACCCGCTGCCCCAAACCGCGTTCTGTAACCTTGCGCACTTGTGGTTGTGCGCGTTTGTTTTAATAAGTTTGGAGAGGAGAAAAAGCAGAATGATCCAGGCAAGAGCAGACGCCCGGCTTTGCAGAGAAGCTCGGGAGAAAGCAAAAATGTGAGATGCTGCAGGTCTTCGAGGTTTGGCCCAGTGGGGTGTGGCAGCTGGGGTGTCAGGGGTAGGGAAACGGGACACAGTGAGTGTACCTCCCCCCACCTCTAGCTCCCCCCTGGCTCCAGTGGACCAGGTAAAATAATGAATCCCGCGTCTGCTGAGGTTTCTGCACCCCCCCCCCCTTTACCCCCAAGCTCCATCTGAGCAGCACAAGTATGGGCCAGAGTCTTATAAATCTGCAGAACGGTTCCAAGGCTTCATTTTGCTGCCTGAAGCTGGCATCAACCCCCCCCCCCCCCCCCCCACCCAGGACACCCTCCAGGAGCGTATTATAAAATCAGTCTGAAAGAAAAAGTGACACTTTTACATTATAGAGACAAATCTTTTTAGACATTAAAAACACATTCTCTGCTTCGTCAAGTTCATGTTTTGGATTGTATGATAGTCTGTGTTAAATATGATGCTGCATTGCATGACAGAAACTCTGCATTGTGTGTGAATACCTTGTAGTTTGTCTCAAGCTTCGAAATCAGCTTAACTATGCTATGATTTTCTTAGTCAGCTCTCAGGTGTTTCTAAACGCTCACGTTAAGGGAAAGTTCCACCAAAAATAAACTATAAAAAATAACACCCATGTGGAAATGCTTACTGTGCAGATTGCGCTTGACACGGGATCTGTAATTACTTCTTTGTTCTGTGATTTGTGATCTTTCTGTGGTGAAAAGAGCTGGACCTAACCACATTTGAATTCGTACAGTATTTGTCAATGGTTGCTGATAGCCAGAGCGCACAAAAAGATCACACTGTGCACCCATAAGCCCTGTTAGATGGAGGGAAAAAAAACATCATGGTGACAGAATAAATCAACACTAAGGCCAAACTGACGGGGTGAAAGTTCGCCGATATGTGGCCTGTGCCAAGCAGCCACCGGTACCTTCTGCAGTGTCGCTGGCATTAAAAAGGGCACAGTAGGCAGTTCAGAGTTCACATTTCTTCAAGAATGAAGCCATACATTTACATAAGACTTTTGCACCACAGCCAGCTGGGGCGACGATGTGTCCTGCATTACGTCACTGACCGTGGGCTTAACTGTCAGGGCCAGACGTGGAAGAGGACATTTGTATTAAATAAATAATATGTGGAAAAAATGCTTTTGAAATTATAACAGTAGTGCACTAATTTTTCAACTTGTTCCCTGTGTAACCTGTCAACGTGCAACATCTATTAATAATATAACAGGCGCTGTATATGCGTGAGGCCGAATTGTTATGCATGCTAAATTTTTGGGAAAGCTCATTTGACGTATTTACCTTGTAATACCCTTAGGGGTCAGTCTGTATTATTCCAGTGCTATTGAATTAATGCTTGCATTATCAGTTGTATGTTTGCAATCGAAACATAATCACGTCCTTTAAGATTTTTAAATAATGTGTATTAAACTGAACGCGGGATAAGATGCCTCCCTGAAATTGTCGTTAACTGGCACTTCTGCTACTTAGCATACCTAAACCATATACTTATTTCATCTTCTCCACAATAATGATAAATATTCGAACATTATCGCTATTGTGCGTACTGGAACGGTAACTGGTCCCAGTTACGCAAATGTGTTTTGGTTGTGGGGCACTGAGTTGTGATTACAATATATGGCTCTTGTGTGATCGTTTTTTTCAGTGCTGTGAAAAAAATGCTCTTTCGGGAGACGGAGCGAGAGGGAAGGGATAAGAGGCAGGGTTGAGGGAAACTTTTTTCCAAAGTTTGTGTAAGCTTTCACTTTCAGCCTTCGAGGCGGGGTTACCACTACAGCATGGAGTGAGTGAGAGGGTTCTGCGAGCGATTGCAATGCAGCACCACGGCGAACTTCATCCAAGTTAAACAAGCTCTCCAAATTATAATTCTAAAAATAACCATGTACTCCCCGTACTGCTTGACACAGGTAAAATCAGCCTGATCTTTTCTTATTTATGTCGAGTCTTAGCTGCTGCGCGTTTTGTAGTGTTCGCGGTTGTCTTGCTTCGGTCTTGTTTAATAATCGTTTTCAGGCTTCTTTTAACTGCCTCTCTTTTCTGATACAACTTTGTACTCTCGCTCTCTCCCTGTTTTCTGTTTTTTGGTGGCATTTATCCAGCAGTCTTTCTTTTACGTTTCAATTGCACATGGTTTGAAGAGAAAATGGCGCTTCTCACAAATCTATTTAATATAAAAGGAGGAGTGAAGAAGAAGAAGAGGAGGAGGAAGGAATGCTACTAGATAAACATTGGGGCTCGTTGAGTTATCAATTATACACATATTAACGCTTAGATATAGATTCGTATATGGATGTTAGGGCGTTCAGAGTGTGATATGCAATAATATTTTGTCCACAAAAGTCGAATCTGCGAAGTGGAAGTTGAATGTGGCTCCAGGCAGCCGCGTGACGCTCCATACTGTATTTGATACTGGAGCTGTACAGTATGGAAAAACGGTGTGAGTTTCACATAAATAAGCAGCGAGATAGTTGTAGAACGAGATATTTGTTGTTCGCGGGTCATTTCCACGCTGTCACGAACTTTACGAAGATGATTGAGGGTAAATTATTTTGACATAGTGATGGCCCGCGATAGATCAATTGATGTTTTTCATCCGGAGTTAAAGCGCGTATCTGGTGTGTGTTTATTTGAAAAACACTAGGTTAGAGGAAGATGATAAAAGCTGTACACCTGTTCTGGTTTAGTTGTTGGAAATTCTGGATTGATTGCCATCACTGCTATTTATTTCATGTGCCGGTCACTTATGAAAAGTCACAACATCGACTAAGTTGTATTGCTTTACACATGCACACATGTATGTTGTATCGCATCAGTTAAGTGCAATGCAGTTTCGGAAACTGTTATTTCTGCCGTTTGTAGCTTGCATTCACTGTACAATTAGGATACCTACGCATTTTTAGTATAATACAGTGGGTATTTAATCCGCGCGTGTATATGCACAGTACGTTTCGACTCACACCCTGAGCGCCCAGCGTATTATCCTCTGTAAGTAGGAGGGAAAAGAACAATTCCATGTTTTTAGTAAGTTTACTTGTTTTTTGCGTAGAATGCCATTTCCCATTATTTGATGCCCTCTTTGTTAATTTCTAAAAAAAATTATGAACACATCTCAAACTATACCGGCTCTGCACGCGTCTTTTTACCCGACATGATGTGGATAGTCTGCAGTGTCTCCAATCAATGCCCGTTTTCACGGTTAAGTACGGTTAACATGGGCATTTAGTATGTTAAACATATATGTTTCCTCAAGTAATAAAACCATAAAGTTAATAGTAATAGTAAATATGCTGAAATCGCCGTCATTGGCTGGGACAATGTTCGCCTTTCTACGCATGTTCCCAGACTTCGGTCCGCTGTAATTATTGTAGAAGAGAAAACAGAGGACCGATTGTTCTTCGTTGCATCGACACTTTCAAAATGTGCATTGAGAATCTGTAGTGCCATTGCCAGTT